CATAAAAACTATTACACTTTATTACAAATATGGCCATGCTTTGACAAACCTTTCCATACAACAACCAGTATGGAGCTCAACCTATTCGATACTCTCAGGGCCGTTTTCGGTTCCGATTATACAAACGGTTAAGACAGCTCATTATGGCCGAGCGTCTTATGTCGTTTTGGATGGCCAGTTAGTCTAGAAGCTTCAGATGCATCTGGAGTCGCAGTGGATGACAGTCAGATAGCATTTCCACGTGTTCATCCTGAAGTTCAGTGTGTCTGATAGGCGGTTTATTCATGTTTAACCCGATCGGTGTTCGGTCGCCTCCCGCCGTGAACAATAGTCACTTAACTTTTGTTGCAGACAATGGGTAGGAAGCCAACGATTGTTTAGAATACTCAAATTCATCATGACGCACGGATCTGATGGATACAATAAAGACAAGGGTTGAAGAAAACCCGTGTGGTATTAACTAATTTGGTTTTGGCTCGTTTAGTTGCAATCAAAACTCCGTGAGAACATGTAAAACAGCACATAGGATATTTGCATTGCACGGTGACAGCCAGTGATTACTTAAGAAAACTTCGGAGTGAGATAGTGCACGCTAAAGGGCAAGGAGCATGTGGGGTACTGTACAAGAAGCTTCTCGGATAAAATACCATGGCCAGAGGAGCTACTACACTACAGCCAAACTACGCGTTCATAGCCCGACATTTGACTGTCGCTACCCTCCGTCAAGGGAGACTAGCCTATAGGGATCCGATCGCACTGCGTCTGTCAGTCTACGTATAAATGCGGAACTGTCCCTACATCGGCTCTCGGAAATCTGAGTCTGCAGTTTTCTTTCCAAAAACGTCGCTTGGATTTGAGAGCGAGATATGGCACAATCCCCTGCAGCCGACATCTCGCCACAGATCACCAAATCTATTTTGTCTCTGAATTCCGACCGACTCATGGTTTTCCAGGCTTGCTGAGGCCGGTGAAATCAGTCATCCGGAAACTACTCATAAGGTTGCTGAAAGTTCTTCGACTGCCCAAGACCGGTTTCGCCCTTCTTGGGGCTCATCAGGTAGGCACAGTCCCCGTGTTTCCGTCAATCTTATGATCTACTTGAACCCAAATTGCACTGTTCTCGAGAAATACACTCATTTGCAAATCAGTTTGGTTTTCACGAGAGACTCAACTGAATCTCTCGTTTATGATGTTCTACAACTGAATGTACCGCACACAGGCCGCCTCATGATTCAGTTGGCACGATATTCGAGATGTCGCAGTATATTTTCAAAAAGGAAACTACTCACAAGTACTCATTTGCATGCCAATTTGGTTTTCTCCGCAGACTCACTTGAATTCCGTCAGAATCAGTTGTAAATTGTCGAAGTTTTCACCAGCTTTATGAGTAGTCCTCTTCACGAAATATAGCTAGTTGTGCCTTCTGATTAGTCAGCTGACCTCTCAGTTCTCCTATCAGGCCTGGCATTATGAAAATTTTCAGGTTATTGACCTTGGTTGCGGTGAAACGAAACAAGTTTTTTTTATCAGTCAGTCGCGAGGAAATTCATCCCTCAACTAAGTCATTGATAGTCTGTCTATTGTTGAGCCAGCCGATCTTGAGCCAGTTTATCGTATTGGAACTCAGCAAGTGCTCATTAACTGACTTTGTTGGTTATAATTAGGTCTTGTTTTACGGTTCATTTTAAAAGGTAAGTAGAATGCACATTACCTTCTGTGCCATTAATAAATTAGCTAAACGTTGCCAACGTTTACTGGGGGCCAGTTTCTTAGCGCTCGTCATCAAAACAGAGAATAGTAACTTGAAAAGCTACGTCTATGGACAATGGCAAGCGAAGCACCCTAGAAGCCATTAAATTTAAGTTTGAAAAGATGGCTGAAGTAAGCCCGTTAGGTTCATTCACTTCATTTTTACCCGAGACTTTACAACCCGCACGCCACACTTAATTATATCGGGACTTTAAAGTTTCGCTTGTATCCCCAAAGGAGATATGCCTGCAACTACTTGGGCATCCATAGTTAGGCACTTCAATAAAACCTTTCTAGAACTCTTGGTCACCAGAGATGAGTCATTGATGTAGTAGGAGCACAAAGCCTTCACTGCTATTATCCCCTTAAATGAATTGTTTTGGAGTTTGCGCCGGAGTACTTTACTCAAAGGTAGACCCTTGCCATGAAGTTAATTGGAAATTCGCTAATATCAGAAAATGTGTAGGTTTTTCTCTGAAGGCTGTGTGACTTATGCATTTTGCACATGTCATACGCTTCCATAGAATCACACAATTCCACCGGGTTGCATTGTGCCACCAAATGGACTTGCACACTAGCTCATTCGTCCCAACCGATTGCCAGTTCCTTATTGGTACCAACCGATGCAGAGTAGGCAACAACAGAAAATCGTGGTAGAAGGCCATCGTCATGAGCCTGTAATAATAATTGAACTTGTGAAGCTCTTTAAATGCCAAAAAATCCACACACCACTTATTTGTCCTAAATATACCTAAGTACATATAACATCGTTCTAGTTTCCCCTTGCTATGGGCAATATTTCGGAGTACGTCTTCAGTGGTTTTCAGCTAATCATGCCGCTCCGGAGTGAATCACCCTGATGATCAACTGTCGTTAGGTGCACACGGCTGGCAAGTCGTAAAAGGGCCCCTCACACAGTGCTTCTTGGTTTTTAAGCACTTCAAATTAGGAATGAACTGCCTAGTGAAATTTCGATATCTCATAGCCGCAGCAACACAGCTTCCATGTTCCTATGGTGCAAGGAACGCCTGAGAAAAAAATCATAGTGATTCATGCACAGTTTGACACCAACAAGTGTAAACCGTTTGGTTGAAACTATTGTTCGTTCGTTTTGGTATGCTCAACATGCTCGCACCAAGTATTTTTCAGTTCGAACTGAATAAAGACCACATGGTTCTACGCTGTGAACATCTCCCAGTAGATTTCGTCTATGCTTTCAACCAAATTGCAACAACTGCAAGGCCCACTTCGGGATGTTTACCATTACTTTTGCGTAACCATTACGTAACCACCATGTGTATTGTAGCCCTTCATCCTGAGAATAGGGCTACACACGAACAGCTACACGCGAAATCATCGGTGCTTCAAAATATATAAGCTTTTGAAACGGGGTCGAAGGAAATGGTTGCAAATTCACCTTGCCCCTTGTGGACCATGGTTTGGATCCGTGTTACAAAAAGTTGACTTCCTAGTGGAATTCCATAGTTTGCCCTCTTTTCTCCACTCATCGTTTGTCATCACAAGAAAGCATCGACAACTTCTCAGACTTTGGCCCCAAAATTCGAGCTTTCATTATCGACTACCTGATGGGCCCCAAGAAGGGCGAAACCGGTCCTGGGCTGTCGAAGAGTTTTCAGTAGTTTCCTCTACTTTTGTACACTTTCCGATATTTATGTGATCATCAGTGAACATGAAATAGCATGAACAAGCTGTCGGAATTCCTAGAGTCTTACCATATTGATCCGCCAATTACCTACCTGCACGGCAATTACAATGCTAACCAATGTTATTTTATTCAATAACTTGCCAAAATTGGATGAAAGTACGGACTATGGTCGCATCCAACTAAGCTTGTCATATAGTCTCCCAATTTATCAAGCATAGTTTTACTTAGGAACTTGGTATGCCTTGTCGAATAATGTATGGTGCGTGATACGCTGTACAACATACTCAAGTGTATTGCTCGAAAGTGAGCTGCTAATTTTGGTCGTAATATTTTAGTTTATGGTGCCCTTTTTGGCCGACACACCACAGTGGTTTGTTGCAGCCATTCCAAAAGGAAAACGCCTTGAACACTGCTGACCATCGGGTATGAAAATGAACTCTGTGATCAAAAATAGTCACGTGCTCTTCATGGTGTAACTCTATATCTAGTTTGTATTGAATTCGTCTTCGTTTTTGTCTGCCTGTCTCATTGTGGTCTGCTACTTTCTTCTTTGTTCGACAGCCTTACCGTTTGATCTCGACAGTGGTCATATGAACAACAATCTCTCGTAGATGGTTCCAGCGAATGTTTGAATTTCCACAGTTTTAGAACTTACTGGTTTTCAACTAGTTGAGATTGTATTCAGTGAGAGATAATAGCCAAATATGCGCCTGTTTCCTCCTCAAAATGATCACCTGGAAACTTTGTTCCTGGAACAGTTGTAATTGCTCCTCCTAAGCAACAGATCTTGTCGGAAAGATACCTATCGCATGAACTTTATGACAAAAATGAGAATGCAGTCCTACCCTCCCTTTTTTCTTCACACACGTGTCACGCCAGTTAGGAAGTGTTATTGATGATAGACAAGTCTTCGGAAAGCGGTCACCTCGCTTTTCCATGAATTGTACGCTGGACTAGCGTCATCCCCAATCTCTTCTACCATTTAACTAATCCGAGGAAGATACTCTATCTAACAAACGGAAGAACAACACATTCAGCTGCCTGGAGACATCACAAACGGGAGATTCAGCTGGGTTCCAGGTGATTATTTCGCAAAAAAACAAGTTTGTTTGCAAATGAGTGTATTTCGCTAATTTCGTGCAATTTGGTTTCAGGTAGAACATAAGGTTGATGAAAATTCGGGGACTGTGCCTACCTCATGAGCCCCAAGAAGGGCGAAACCGGTCCTGGGCAGTCGAAGAACTTCCAGCAACCTTATGAGTAGTGCACTACGAATATAAACGAGAGAACAGTTTTCATTTGCTAGAGTTGTCAGTATGCAGCAAGATATTAGATTTAATGTCTGTTTCTTTTTGCCTGAATGTCCGCTATGTACTCTAGTGGGTAACGCTTGTCGCCGTGAAGGAATGGACGAGATGCTGCTAAATCAGTCGGCTTTCGTTTGCATGACTTTTATCAATCTGTTGAGCATTTGTCAACCTGACGTGATGAAAATCACGTAGTAGGCATCTCATGGTCAGTTTTTGTCCGGCCACTGCAGTGTCAAACCATGCCTTTTCAAAACACACCCTATCTTAGTACCATACTAAGATTTAACGAGTTCAGTGATCGCAGACGGTAAGCTTTGTTTGAGTATACTGCTATTGTCTGTCTCATCTGAGGTGCATGTTTCATACAAAAGTTCCTCTGAGTTTGTCTGGTACTCCTGGAGCTTGAAGTGATGCATTTGATTGCTCAAATCCTTTTCATTGAGTGAAGCACTCTGTATTTCCATTGTTTTGTCGGAAACAGACTGCACAATCGATGGCATTATAAAAGCCGCGAGCTTCATCTGCTCATGAGGACATTAATCTCTCAGTGAAATTTGGTACAGAGCAACATGCACGTGAACTAGCTAAACTAGGGTCACTCAAACTTCAAGCGCGTGATGCGCTATCATTTCGCTCTCGTTTGACTGGGTGAACTCGATTGATTCGACGCGGCTGTGCCATACTTTAGACTACGGACAGCGACCACCGTTGATCTAATCTTGTGTGTCAACGATGGTTTGTACACAGAATCCCTCATAGTAGAAAACAAATGCTTGTTTCATTGGGCGAACAGGACACGGTTGCACAGTTCGTGGTTCCTCACTCAATAAATCGGACGCCCACCAGCATGATGTTTCCGTTCATCAACCAGGGGACGTTTGAAGTGACCGACAGGCGAATCAGAACGCAACTGTCGATCTGACCAATATGTAAGATAGAGGAGCCAAGAGCGTCTAAGAACTAGAAGGCGTAAACTGCAATCAATATATTGGATCTCGGTATAGCGATTGCTCTACTTTAGTGTGTCCGCGACATTGAGCAAATGCCCGCATGCACGAAGCACCGTTTCGAATAGGCATGCGCATAATGCAGACAGTATCACAACAAAATCTGAATGTGTGATTGAATAATGCATCCAACTAAGGCCATTCAATCTAACCCGTTATAAACCCTCGGTTAGTTCTAGTTAAGATGATTAAGTCTCTTGAATAGCTCACTAACGTTTCTGCCCACATGCGGTTCAACAAGTAGGCATATCCTCGGATTTTCCATCAGATATGTGACATATTTGGACGCTCAGGTGAACATTTATAGAGTTTGAAAATTAGTTTCTGATATAAATGGTGTGAATTGAGACCTCACATAATCAACAGATGAATGTGTCGCAGAATGGTCACCTCACGTTTTTTATTTAGGGAGATATTAATCTTAATACGACAGATTTCTCCCGTACGATCCTACTAACGGATTTCTGTGGGCTGCGCTTACCTGGTATACCCAGCGGTGTGAAATCGGCCGGTGGCCATCAGTGGTAGTGTGAGGAGATTTAAGAGTTTTGTGGAAATTTCATCCTGTAAGTAAAGCAAATCTATGCTGAAAAGACGAGAAGCATTACACAGCTGTGTCACCCTTATTGGGAATCATCAGCAGTGCGCATCTTACGAAACTCCGAAGAGTCTCGAACCCGCGACCTCCTGGCTAGTAGTTTGAACACTTTACCGTTCGGCCACGAATGGCTGATCAGTAGTGTGATTAAATTGCACTTAGACAACATATAGCGCCGCTCATCCTTCAATCACGGGATCCACATCACGCGGTCACACGTGTTGACTGGCTCCTCGAGCAACGACTTCTCAGATAGAAGTTTCACTCACCGGGTGAAGTTTATTCTCTCACTGAGCTACGTATAGATTGTTGGTAATGTGAGGAGATTTGGGAGTTTTGTGGAGATTTCGTCCTGTAAGTGAAGC